GTCATGTTGGTAGGAAGACTTAGAGGAACGCACCTTGTCCGGAGTCCATTGTATGCATCATCATTTGCAGAGTAGGACCGTGGACGTGGTACATTTCCAGACGTTTCGCCGGCATCGTCACTAAGTCTTGCTATTCGTAGCCATTCTTTGATGAGTTGTAATATGATGCTACGAATGGCGAGACTCACTGACGATGCCGACTAAGATGCCGGCGAAACGTCTGGCAATGTACCACTTCCACGGTCCTACTCTGCAAATGATGATGCATACAATGGACCCCGGACAAGGTACGTTCCTCTAAGTCTTCCTACCAACATGACCAAGTTGCGAAAACAAGGTCAAACAACTTCGTGGTATTATGTTGGAATAAATGTTGGGTTTAGAGGTTTCTAAGTTTTGAGCTCCTCTCCATAAAGGCCAATGTAATGAAGAAGAGCTTCGAAGGTGGATTTCATCAAAGACAAGAGCAGATGCCTCTTGACCGGCTATTGGTGGGTTTAGCCGGAACATTCTGGTTGACACTGTCCCCTATGCACTATTCTTTAATTGTGATGAAAATCTTTGAAGCTTTTGTCCGTTATATGTGCCGAACATCATCGGAAAAGAGTATCATTCTTACAATCATATTCAGGTGCAAATAAATCTACAGGTTAATCCCTGTGGATAGATATATTTATCAATATATATATAAATATATATGTTTTTGAGGAGACATAACATAATTTGTGTCGGCTCGACCTTGCTGTCGTCACTTGGTCGCAGCGTCATGGAGACCTTGTGGAACATACCTAGTCTTATGTGCTCTGCTGCCGTGGTCGTGATTTCCACCTTCGGACAATTGACTTGGTACACTGCCAAACGTTTCGCCGACTACGACCAAACAGAAGGCCACATCATCTTAGTCTTCATGTTATTACAAGTTATATTTTCGTGGTGTTAGTCGAACCGCTTCATATTGGAAAGTTGCGGGCCATTTGGTGAAGCTGAGTGACGTGCGAAACACACGTCGGTCTAAAAGACGGAGGGTCTGGCCACTTAACACGTTTCAAAATTAATGTCCCCGAAGTGTACTACAGATTTTATATTTGAGGCAATGAACCCAAAGAAACAAACCGAAGATATGAAGACCAAGATGGTATGGCCCTCGGTATGGTCGCAGTCTCCTTTCGATCTATAGAAGTGGGCTGACCTCGGTTTCGCAATTTGGTCTTGTTGTCGGGCGACTTAGTAGAAGGCACCTTGTCCGGAGTCATCTACCATAGTAATGATCATAATTCCCAGCATCAGACTGTGGACTTGGTACATTCTCAGACGTTTCGCCGGCATCGTAGTCAGCATCATCCATGAATTTTCCCATTCTCCGCCCCAAGCTACAAACTCATCAAAGAGACAAGTGCAGCCAATCTCTGTAGCTTGGTGCGGAGAATGGCAAGATTCATTGCCAGCGAAACGTCTGAGAATGTACCAAGTCCACCGGGTCAAGCCATTTATGTAAAGAAACAAACATTCGTGGGGCAAAAGGTGCATCATGTCGACTTTCTTTTTTGAGAATACGGCTAGTTATAGCATAAAATTGGCACTTGGCAACGGTTTTTGTGCTTTCTTCGGTTGAATCACACTTTTCTTGATTCATTTTGTCGCCAAACAAACTCATCGTAAATATGAAGCTGGAGGCACCTCTCCACTGCCGCATGATACTTTAGCCTCAGCTACGACTGTTTATCCCGTCTTTTCATCGGAATCACTGTCCTCTCAGCAAAAGCTTAGCCTTGACGCATGATTAATTTGGTATGTGATTTTTGTGTAACTGGAAAACTCACTGGAAAACAGACTTTTTACCATTTATTCATATTCCCTTTTCCATATGTACGTCTAATTGAAAGGGGGGACGGACGGCTGAAAGAGTAATCTTTTTAGAGATCAGTGCATTTCTGGCCACCCTTGAAACCGCTTAGAGGGACTGGACGGAGGCTGAGCTCTGCCTCTCTGCCTCTCTGTCTCTCTGCCTCGATGAATGGACGTCGATGCGCCATGTGGCAATTTCTACCACTCCAAACTGGAGCCGCAGACAGGCTGAACAGATCAAAGTGATAGAGCAAAGTTTCAAGATGTAGAATTCCGTTTTACAGACACTCTCCTTCTGGTTAGACCTTAGGCCTGGATGATAAAAAGGGCTTGGTCGGAGATGATGCCAGTTCCCAAGACCTGTTGGTGCGTCTAGTAGACACCCGTTATGGGCACAAGCAGGTTTGTCTGTTTGCATGTGAATGTGTGAAATTGTGCCTGTGTCTGCCCCTGTGTATGAGCCGCTGCGATTAGTACAAACGATTGTGGAGAGATGGTCAAGTGGAATGTAAAGGGTAACCTTGATTAGTCATGCCGAGACGCCCCGAAGGCTGCAAATCTTTAAGTGGTCGGAGTGCCTTTTGAAGTGGCATCATCACTATTCCTCTTATTATCTTAATCTTTATTCCTTTATGCCAATGGTATCACATCTTATAGCGTACGATAGGAGACGGGGCTGAAAGGTGACCTGGTTACAGGAACACTCGATACGGGCCCATTGAGTGCCGAGTAAAGTTGCCAAAGCGAATTTCCCGGAGGATCACGGCAAATATGTATGAAACTACGCGTAAAATGCTCAGTTGGCAGAGGACAATGTAGATTGTTGTCATGATGGTCGGGTCAGTTGCAGTCACGCCATAGGCACAGATACAGCCTTTGGTTGTTATGCCCTTTTGACGCTTTAGCGCCTGTCGATTCGGTCGAGAGGTGAAAGAGCGGTGAAATGGGAGGGACCAAACATCACATCCAAGGCAGCCTTGGAAACTGTGATCCTAATCAGATTGGCAAGATAAAATACATTTCGCAAGCGACGCTAATTAGGCCTTTTTAAATAATCATTTTTCAGGGGCAACATTTCACTCAAATTATTCTAAATCTTGCATTCCTGCTAAGCATGCTAATCGACTGGAATCCTGAAGTCATGACAATTCAGCAACAAAGAGCTACGCTGGAAAACGGAGTGTTCAAAGAAAGCATAAATGGGGAATATGAAGACCAAGCTGTTGTGACCTCTGGTATGGTCACAGTCTCCTTTCGATTTACAGAAGTGGGTTGACATCGTTGTCGCAACTTGGTCGTGTTGTCAGGGCGACTTAGTAGAACGCATCTTATCCGAAGTCGTCTTCCATAGTAGTTGGCATGATTCCCAGCATCAGACAGTGGACTTGGTACATTCGTAGCTTGGCGTGGCGAATGGCAAAACTGACTGATGATGCCGACGAAACGTTTTGAGAATGTACCAAGTCTACTGTCTGATGCTGGGAATCATGACAGCTATTATGGCAAACGATTTCGGACTAGATGCGTTCTGCTAAGTCGCCCTGACAAGACCAAGTTGTGGTATCGAGGTCAACCCAGTTCTATAAATCGAAAAGAGACTGCTACCATACCAGAGGACACAACATCTTGGTCTTCATATATTCTTATTGTCTATAGTTTAGTCCTCGTCATCACCAAGATTTCCTATTTGTGAAGACATTACTTCCCGCCCAAGTGCTTTCATGAGTTCCACCAGCTCTGTGTCGATTATAAACATATTCGCAAGCTCAGCTCCCGTGAAATAAACTTTTGAGAGATAGTCTTAAAAGTAAGTTGATATGTTTCGTTCATATGAGAATGTACCAAGTCCACTGTCTGATGCTGAGAATCATGACAACTATTATGGCAGACGACTTCTGACTAGGTGCGTTCTACTAAGTCGCCCTGACAACAAGACCAAGTTGCGACAACAAGGTCAACCCAATTCTATACATGAGGAAGTAATGTACGAAAAATAAATGAGGAAGACAAGAGAAAAGCTTTGTCTGAGAGAAAAGATGGAGGGAATACAGAAGAATTGCATTAAAGAGAATGGAGAGGTGCTACAAGGTAGAAAGAGGAAGAGGGCGGAGAAGAGGGATGCCTGAATTGCTATAGACACAGAAACAAGCAAGCAGTTGAGAACTCGTGTTTGGCCGACTCACGACAACAGAACAAGAATGACGAGTTTGCCAGAGAGACGAAAGAGGAAGGGTCTCGAGCGGAAAGGACGGTTGACAAATTCGAGTCGAGTACGACTTGAACTGATTCGTCATAGCCTTGACAAGCCGGCAGAGAAGAGTGGAACTGGATTATCGGTAATGCGATCTGGCATGGCCTAACGACGTTGACATGAATCCGTCAATGGGACATGTGTTTTTTGCAGACATTCTCCAGCCCTCTGGCCGTTTTCTAACAAGTCATGACCACGAAACGGAAGTTGTCAGACAGGCTGACACCTACAGACTCTTTCATTTCACACGCAGGCAAGGGGAGATTGTGGGCGAAAATCCCTTCAGCACTCGATGGGCCAGGGCAGTGAAGTGTGAATTAGACGGACCAGAGAAGATGGGCTGAGGCAATGGGTCCGCCCATCTCGCCTCCAGTCTTCACGTGTGAAAGCCCATCTGTCGGTCTGTATGTTCATCCGGTCATGTGAACCACAATACACAAACATTCAAGCTATCTCACCCATTTGGACAAGTGTGAACAGTCAACTATGACTTGCCCACGTGACTGTACCTCTCTTTCTTGTACAACAAAACGTGCTGGGCCTGTCTGTGATGGAGTAGGTGTCCTCCGCCATGGACACTGCCACATGATAGGGTCAAGTTGCTTCGAGTGAATCCCACCCTCGGGCTGTATGGAGGAAAAAACAGGGGTCACCCAGATGGATTGACATTGCCGGCGAAACCTTTGTGAATGTACCGGGTCCACGATCCAATGCTGGAAGTTGTCATGACTAATTTGGCAGAAGATCCTGGACAGGGTACATCCATTTAGGTCGCCCTGACAATAAGACAAAGTTGCGACAGTCAGATAAAACCACGAAAGGGGTCTGTGGCAAAAGGTAGAGACGAGACCATCTTAGTCTCTTATCCCGTTCTCCCCAATGATGGTGTTTTGGGCATGTGGAATGGGCAAAGATACAGGCGTCTATTGAGGCATGCCGACATGCACACAGACAAGCAGACAGGCTGAAGTGTTCTGCAAATTTGTGGGAAATACATGCGTCATCAAAGTCTGTTGATTGAAAATAAGACAACACTCTTGGATATTCAACTAAATCTATTTAATCGAAGATATGAAGACCAAGATGGTGTGGCCTTTTGTGTGGTCGCAGTCTCCTTTCGTTGTATACAAGTTGTTTGACATTGTTTTCGCATCTTGGTCATGTTGGTAGGAC